CTCGCGAAGTTCCTCGATGATATACATGATCTCGTTGTCGTGGGCATTGTTGCCAGTTTGACGCGAAGCGTCGAGCAATCGCAGACGATCCACCAGCTCGTTGGGGTTGTCCCAGTGCACGTAGTCAATTTTATTGTCGGTTAGCGTCATCGCGCGAAGCGCGAATAATCACTTTCCGGATTTTTTCTTCTTGGATTCGGTCGATATCAACGGTGAGATTACATATTGATACTTGTATCCCACGTTATCCTTTACTCGCTCGCGAGGATTGTGTTTGAATTTATGAGCACACGTTGTCAACAGTAAGCTCCTGTACTTTTGCCTATTGTTCTCCGTGTAGAGCTTGTCATCAGGTATTTTCTTGAAGATCAACTCGTAAATACCGGGTGTGCCGGCATATCGTACGCCGTTGATATAAATGTTATCCGCTTTGTTTACGTCAAAACGTTTATTACCGAGCATCAATTTATTCTTGCCGAGATAAACGCCGTACACGTTGTCTGTTGTTGGAATGGCGCCCAAAACCTCTGCGATGTAAATTCGGCTCAGTGGACCCAAGTGATCTTGCAACGTTTCTATAAACAATTCTCGACCCTTCGACGTTTGCAACTGCTTTTGAACGGTCGTCCCGATCGAGTCGTCCGTGGTTTCAAAAACATCATCCACGTTTACCGGTAAGTCGGGACTTGTACGTTGCACGGTTTGCGTCGGTGTAGAGGTTATCGGTGTAAAGGTTATCGGTAGTACTATCGATTGTTTCAATTGATCAGATTTACGCGGTGTTAATAAGAGATCCGACCAGGAGTCTAATCGTTTATTCTTTCTCTTCGGTGTAGCATCCTCCACTTCCTCCCCGCGCTGTTGAACGGATAGCGGTTCGATTTTCGCGTCAGCGACGCTTTCCGTCGGCTCCTCTTTCTTCACCGCGGTCAAGCTCGAGTTGTCGACGATTTTTTTCAGCGGCCCGATGAGAGGTTTGAAGTGCGTGTCCAACTCAATGTCCTTCTCGATCTTACCGGTCTTCAAAGCGCGAAGTTTCTTGCGAATCGAATTACTTGTTTTCGCAATATTTTTCACGATCTTCTCGCGCTCGCGAATATTCTCGCTCCCGTCAATTGCTGCCATCGCGGGGAAAAAACAAAGCAGAGTGTCGATCTCTCTTTGTAACGCTAACGTTTCACCTTTGACAACGTATTGGCGACGACTGACCGCTTTTGCGGTATCGCGAACACGTTAAATCCTTTTCTGTACCGACCGTTCAAAAGCGCACTGTCCTTGTCTATCACTACGAATCCGTACTTGCATTGCCAACAATCGTGGCACAACGAGCAAAATTCATCGTACGACATGTCGGTATTTACATGATCGTTGTACACGTGTTTCAAATTAGTACCATCCTGTTTGAACAGGATCAGCAGATTCGCGTTGTCGCGTATCAGATGTTTAGGTATTCTCGCGTACGTCTGACAGAGATAAAAGCAGTCGACGTTCGAGTGCCTGCCCATCGAGAAATATTCTCTCACAGTGTCTTGCTTATCGCACGCCACGTCGTCGAAGACGAATATCGAGTTCAATAAATTCTCCAGATATCGATATTTCGGTTGTTGCAGCGATTTCGAGTACACGTACACGTTCTCGAAACGTACACAGTGCGGACTTTCCACCAAACTTATCAGAACGTTGGTTTTACCACAATTCGAAGGACCGCAAATGATCGCGCGTATAGTAGTCGGCAGCATCGTACCGTGTCTGCGCTTCTCCGCATTGCCCTTCATCGGCCGTGCTCTGTCGTCGCAATTCGTCACACGAATCGCCAACGGTTTTCGCACGAATCTCATTTTTTTTCTTACACTTTGTACGACTAAATCGAACTTTCGTTCGAACGTCTATTTATGCGCGGCACCGCGAATTGCTCAATCGCAAAGATGTTTGTCCTGCTGTCGAGACCTTCGGACATTCGCGATTTTAGCGCCGAACAGCTGTAATTTGTGCCAAAAACCGTTCTGTTGCAAATGTGCGGTGATCACGTCCACTACGTGTGGGACAAGCTTCCGAAGCATATAAAGGCCGATTTGGAGGTTCAGACCTATCGTCGCTGTGACAAACATTACAATCAACCGTGGCAGCAAACGCACATCGACGGTCCCGCTCCGATGATTAAGGATTGCGGCGAATGTCAACGAAAAAAATAAAAACAGTTAGAGGCCTGTTTAAGGGTCCATATCCCTCAGTAGGTAAAAAAAAAGGTGATTTTTGTGAATTTTTTGTGGAGAAAGTAAACAAAATAAATCATTCAATATTTTTGGATTATATTTATGATACTTTTAAGTAGTTATAAAAATTTTTTCAGCCCATTTGGCGAAACGAAATACTGGGCAACGGCGACTTGTGCGCGGAATATGTTGCTCCATGGCGGAAGTCCTCCAGGTCGTAAAATGTTTCTGAAACATTGAATCAATCGATTTTCCTGTTCAGTACAAGTGTCCCTATAGAGTAGACTACAATCATATCAATGCAATATTTAATTTTTTATAAGCAAAAAAGTATTAAAAATTTATAGTAAAAATTAATTTTTCTTTTTGAACTGCTGCTATTTTATGAATTTTTATTCAAAATAATTTTTTTTAGTCTACTCTATAGGGACACTTGTACTGAACAGGAAAATCGATTGATTCGATGTTTCAGACACATTTTACGACCTGGAGGACTTCCGCCATGCAGGAGCAACCTATTCCGCTCGTTGCCCAGTATCCCGCTTTGCCAAATTATTTAAATGGGCTGAAAAAATTTGTATAATTACTTAAAAGTATTATAAATATAATCCAAAAATATTGAATAATTTATTTTGTTTACTTTTTCCACAAAAATTCACAAAAATCACTTATTTTTTAGATCTACTGAGGTATATGGACCCTTAATCGCGCGATAGGTGCACTTCCGTTCGAATTGCACATTCCCGGTTATCAGTATTGCGGTCCGGGTACTCGTTTGCAAGAACGATTGGCTAGAGGTGATCCGGGTGTAAATCCATTGGACGCAGCGTGTCGTGAGCACGACATAGACTATTCGCGTAACAAAGGCCTCACCGAGAGACACGCGGCGGACAAGATACTTGCCGAGAGAGCGCTAGGACGCGTCATCGCGAGAGATTCGACTCTCAGAGAGAGAGCTGCCACTACAGCCGTCTGAGCGGCCATGAAGGCTAAGACGAAGCTTGGAATGGGCTTGAAAACACGAACAGGGAAAAGGTCGACGAAGAAACGGATACTTCTCCGACAGCGAAACGAAGCGGCGCGGCGTATTGCCGATTCTACCGTTGTTGGGAGTCCTCGGTTCTCTGGCCGGCGGAGCGGCCGGAATTACAATGGCGGTGAACGCTAGCAAAGCCGCGCTGCGTCAGCTGGAAGAGACGCAACGTCACAATCGCGCATGGAAAGTCGCGGACTTTATCTCGCTCTGTACAAATATGGACAAAAACTGTATCTCGGCCCGCACAAATGCGGGCGAGGAGTAGCGTTAAAGATTAAAAAAAAACATCAAAGAAGTCGTTAAATATGCCCACGGATGTTACGACTAACGTACAATTGAGTCGACTGGCAAGGCGAATGCGCGTACCGTTCTTCAGAGGTGTTTTCATGTGTGATTCGTTACCGATCGTCAATGGCGTACGTCAAAACTAGAGCGGTATCGGTGAATTTGGACGATGCAGCGGGCCCCGGTACTCATTGGGTAGCGTACGCCAAGAGGGGAGATCGAGTCGTATATTTTGACAGTTTCGGCAATCTTCGACCACCGAAAGAACTGATGCGATATTTCGGACCGAACGTTAAAATCGAGTACAATCGCACGTCTTATCAGCGATACGATCAGAGCATCTGTGGACAATTGTGCTTGCAATTTCTCCGGACGATCGACGACGATCGGCGCTAATTTAAAACCTGACGACGCGAACTCAGTGTTTGTCGAACAGCTTCCGCCAACATGTCTATAACGTTCACGCTGATCGGGAAGAGCAGCATCCTCGCGGAGCACTATTTTCCCGCTGTGGATCTGAGCGACGCTGACTACGAGCTCGGTTCAATGTGTTTCGAGACTTATTACACGATTCCGAACGTGAATTCTTCGAATAATAAATTTTATTTTGACGAAGATGACACGGAAATTACGATTCCCAAGGGATGGTACGAGATACGGGCCATACACGAGTTTTTGAAACGTGAAATTTTACGGAAACGTCCGCGACGCGTGGTTTGTTCCAACGACGATCGTCGTACGTCGATCGCGGATATCGCGCGAGAAGAGACCGTTCGCGCAAACGGCTACGAAGACGAGGTCGCGGAATACCCGATAGCGCAAATTACAATATGATGAAGAGCGAGATCAAGTGTGCTTTCAGAGTGAACTTTAACAAACCGAACAACGTCGGATCGCTGCTGGGATTCTCGTCGACGCGTATATTGCAACCGAGACAGTGGCACAAATCGGACGCACCGATTAATATTATCAACGTAAACATTATCCGCGTAGAGTGTAACGTGACCGCGGGTGCGTACAGCAACGGCAAACGCGTTTATACGATACATGAATTTTCACCGAGCGTACCACCGGGATATAAGATATCGGAAACGCCGGCGCAGATCATTTACCTGCCGATCATCGCGCGGAACGTTACGAATCTAACGATACGCGTCGCTGATCAAGACGGACGATTGCTCGATTTTCGCGGAGAAGAGATCACCGTCAGATTGCACGTACGACGGCGAGAGCGATAACGCGTCAGTGTTTGCGTGAGCGTGAGTGTACGCGTGACACATGAGATGCTAGTGTTGAACGACTCGGAGCACGCGACAGATAACAGTAATATCTTTACGGCTGCGCCGATCGACGATATCGTCAAGTCGACATTCGGTGGCGTTAAACAAGAGACGAGAAAGAAGCTCATCGCGTCAAACGTTAAGTTTTTACAATCTCTGGGATTTGCAGTGCGAAACATCTGAACGATGACTGAAATTCTCAACATCGGAAGCGAGCCGGTTTTTGACGATCGCATCGTCAAGATCAAGACTCACACGTACTACAACCCGTACGCCAACACAACGTTTGACTATAGCGACGAGATACGAATACCCATACAACAGCAGGATCTGTATACGTTGCCGTGCGAAAGTTTTCTCTACATCGAAAAAACATTGACGGTGACCAGAGCAGCCGACCAAGTCGATAACGTGGTATTGGGTACTAATTGCGTCGCGTTCATGTTCGACGAGATTCGATACGAGCTCGACGGTATGGAGATTGATCGCTGCAGAAACGTAGGAATAACCAGCACGCTCAAGAACTACGTTACGGTATCGTCCGGCAGAAGCGTGATCCTGCGAAACGCTGGCTGGGATCCGCAGAATAACCCAGAATTGAACGGATATTTCAATTTCTGCGTACCGCTCAACTTGTTACTAGGATTTTGCGAGGATTACAAACGCGTGGTGATCAACACTCGTCACGAATTGATCTTGATACGAGCGCGTAACGACAACAGTTCCCTGGTGGGAAGTTTTGCGTTGGAGCCTACTATCAAAATACTCAAGATACAATGGCGAATGCCTCACGTGGTATTGAACGAGATCAACAAGCTGTCGATGCTGCTCGCCTTGGAAGTCGGACGATATCTAAGTATGAATTTTCGTTCGTGGGATCTGTACGAGTATCCCCTGTTGCAGAACACGACCAAGCACTCATGGGTCATTAAGACCGCGACTCAGCTCGAGAAACCGCGATACGTCGTCTTTGCTCTGCAGACGGGTCGGAAGAACGTCATGACCACCGACACAAGCCGATTCGACGACTGCAACTTGACCAACGTAAAACTATATCTAAACTCGGAAGTTTATCCGTACAACGACCTGAATTTGGACTTTGGCAAACACAGATGGGCGATTCTGTACGATATGTACGCGCGTTTCTGCAAGGTCTACTACGGATACAAATATCTCGAGCCGAGTCTCACCGTTTCGACTTTTCTACGTAACGGCCCGTTTGTGATCATCGATTGCTCCCGCCAAAACGAATCCGTCAAAAACGCCACCGTGGATGTCAGAATAGAATTCGACTACATGGAGAACGTACCGCCAAACACCTCCGCGTACTGTCTCATCATACATGACCGCGTGATTGAGTACAACCCGTTGACAAACGTGGTGCGCAAAATAGTCTGAGTGTTTGCGGCAACGTCGACGTGAATATTTTCTCTCTCTTTCCATCAGTCTCCGATACAATTATTTAGAAGAGCAAGAGAAGGAGGGAGGGGGAAGTATAAATCAGAGTGTCGCGAGACGGTTTGCAGAGTTGCGCGTCATACCTCTCGATTGACGCATCGACGAGAGATAGAGAAATAAAGAAATCTCGTCATGACCGTACCAACGTTCGTGGACCTGCAAGGATTCCTCGTCGGAATAAAATTTGTCGTGAAGAAGGTGGCGGTGCTGAGAAAAGGCTGCGTTCTGACGCATCACATCTTTAATTACCCCATGCCGTGGAATCTCCTTACAAAATTGGACAAATCGTGCGCTACCTGGTTGATTCGCAATCACCATGGATTACGATGGGAAAACGGAAATGTGCCGTACAGCATGGTGAAACGCCTGATTACGTCGGCCGTGCTTGGTGTAGAAGAAAAAGAAGACGATGAAGATGATGACGACAAGATGCCGACTCTCGTGTACGTCAAGGGATGTCAGAAACGAGAATAACTGGTGGATCTGCTGGAGAATTATGCGAGAAAAACATAATCGTCGAGACTCTGGATGCGTATTACGATAATATTGAATCATTGAATAAACTAGATGACACCAATACTATGCGATGCGGAAAACATGAAAAGAATTGCGCGTTACAAAATGTAATAAAACTATTTAACTGGTGGTCGCGCGCGACGCCATAAGGATTTGCGATCTTTTTTTTAATAAAATAAATTATATATAACTTTTTATAATGTTTTATTTCTTACTCCCCCTCCTCTCCCCCATCATCACCGTTAGAGTAAGCTTTACTTCGCCCTCTCCTAAAAAAATTCCACTGCACAGTTTTATAAACATTAATTCCCCCTCCCCTTTCCCCCACCACCACATTATTACTTTTAGAATTGTCGCGTATACTCGATTAATTTTATATGATCAGTCTTGTCGCGATCGCTTGTACTGACGGTCAACTTCTCAGAGCCTAGAGGGTGAAAATGTTCTCCTTTGAAGGATGCACCAGCAGCAGCAGCAGCAACAACGCGTGCAAAACGCAAAACGCGTAAATGCCGTGAATTATTACGTGCCGATTCATGACGTTGAAACTCAAACGTATGATGCCAGATGTAATAGGTAAGTTTCGTTTATGATAAAAAAAACATATAGAGCCTACCCCAGTTTTCATATATTTGCAAATTGTAATACTTACGATAAATAAAACTAATTTCATTTCTTTTATACAGCATTTTGTTGGAGCGTCGCGTGGTTCGTATACTCAGCAGACGATACGCGTTGACAGCTACGGGACACAAATTTCTCGAAATTGGTATCAACGTTGGTCTACCGAGCTACGTGGAGATCGCCGTTGGTGATCATCGAGGAAAGGAACTGTTGTTATCTCTCGAAACGTGGAAGGCACTCTACGAGCAACGGCGAAATATTCAGAATTTCTTTCGCAATGACTACAAAGATGTCCATGGTTTCATAAACGTTGGACCGCTAATGGTGAGAGTTTGTACGTCGGTTAATAACGTCAAACTCATACGTCTAGAATCTGTAAACGTACGCTTGATAATTACCGAATCGACGTTGCATTGTTGTTCGGTCTCGATCGGTGCATCGATGCAAGATTCGATCGATTGGTCAGAATACTTGCGGCAGTCGATGCAAAATTTGCGCAGTTTTCCGATATCGCGTCCACTGTGACGGATCCCAAGGAGGCGTCGAATGTAATATACGCTAACGATGCGTTTAATACGAATCAGCTCATCGATTGTGAGCTCGCAGCTTTAGTTTTTTAGTACGTAAGATATATTATGTAAAAGAAGAGTTAAATAAACAGCCTTTTTTTTACAACTAAGTGAACGATGTAATTTCTTTGCGTGCATGTCCATTCTTACCTATATTTTATCAAATGTTGTTTACAACGAACATGTTCCAACAGGTTCGATGCTTTATCGAGTCGATCATCGTCCCGATGACGTCATTTTTTCCTTTGTCTTTTACGTACTGCGTAGATAGACTATTTAGTCTACGCGATAACACCCCTTTTTCCTAAAAAAATGTTGTTTACGACGAACATGTTCCGATAGGTTTAATTGTTTAGTCTACAAGATAACACCCCCCTTTTTCTAGAAAAATGTTGTTTACGACGAACATGTTTCGACAGGTTCGATGCGTCATCGACAAAACACGCTCCTACGCAATGCGCTATCGAGTTAGTCTTAGTCCATTGTGCGCCGCCTAGCGGCGTCGTTGCGAACGAGGCCCCCGCGGCCCGACGGACCCCGCGGCGCAACCGCGGACCCCCCATGCAGCCCCCGCGGACCCCCACGCGGCCACGGCGGACACCAACGCGGATCTCGCGGAGCGACCGCGAACCGCGACGCGACCGCGAACGCGGACCCGCAGCGCGGGTGAGTCATTCCGGTGACTCATACCCGTAGTATGCCAAGGTCAACCTCTCCCCCCCTGATATCCTTAAAATCCGATACCCCTGTGTAACCCGATATCCTTGTGTAACCCAATAATCCGCCCCACCCCCTAACCCTTCATTTCTCCCCGTGAAATCCGATACCCCCTCATCTTTTACCTCCCCTCAGAGTTCCCTGGTTAGAACTCTCCTAGATTAATTACTTTTAGGGTACTATTTAACATATTAAAAATCCCCATGTGTAGACGCTACGTTGCGAGCAGGAGAGGGTCCAAAAGGTCCAAAAAACCAGTTTTTCGCAAATAACTCGGAAAATATCAACTTTACGAAAATTTATGTACATATAAAAATTGTAGCTTACAAAATTCCGCACAATTTTGTTTTTTATTCAAGTTTGTACGACTAAAGGAAGCAGAGATAGAATTTTTTAAAGCACCGGTAGTTTTGCGACGCAACGAAAACGTGTACGCGCGTCGCGCATTTTTCACTAATATCTCGAAAATAGACTCTCAAATCAAGAAATTTTTAAATAAAAGTTGTAGAGAATTTATTGATGTATGCATGAATCCATTTTGGTAAAGATAGCTTAAAGTTAAAAGCAAAAAACATGAAAAAATATCATTTTTGAGTGCATTTTGGAAAATTAACTTTTTCTGATTGATTGGAGGCAGTAATGTTATGTATTGTTTTGAAAATATTTTAATTATCTTTAAAATGAGACGTCGTAGACCTTTTTTCATTGAAACGTTGATGAGTTACAAGCGTTTAAATATTGTAGAAAAAAATCAATTTTTGTTAAATTAACATTTTAGTCCAAAAATATATGAATAATAATTTTTCAAAAATTTATTTTACCTTGTTTTCATTACTTCATATATATATGAACGCTGGAGTAGTATAAGTTTTCATTACTTGTTTTTATTACTTCATATATATATAGTATAAGTCCTTCGCAAAGTGTTTTATAAAAAAAAGTTCATGAATATTGCTGTATTTTTGATAAATTGTGGAAAAATTGCATTATCATTTCTTTTTTTGTAAATATCTTCGTTTCTCTTAACTTTACGAAAAAACTTCAAGAAACCGAAATTAAAGCTGACAAAATTTCCTATAAAATAAAGTTTATGGCATGTAATTTTGAATGCATTGTGATGGGAAACTAGTGTTTCAAAAAACAGGTACGTTTACGTATGTAGCAGATTATCACTATAAGTCGCCTGAAATGATGAAAAAACATGTCCTTAACAATTTTTCTGTACTTATTGAAGTATCAGAAGTTATTCTTGGGGTTTTTCTGAATTTTTTGGTACTATGCCGATATTTTTAGGACAGATAGTACTGTATGTAGGTACCAAAGATTGAAAAGGGTCCGAAGCCGGTATGCGGCGCGCGGCGCGGTTACATCGACGCAGTCGTGCAAGGCAGTTTACAGAATGTTGGAGCAGCTGAAATAACTGCTTAATAAATTCTTGCGGCTGGATTATCTAGAAACATTGTGAATTACATGTGTGAATTACTGTTCGTACGCGTTTTCGTTGCGTTGCAAAATTACCAATGTTTAAAAAAAATTCTATCTCTGCTCCATTTGGTCGTACAGACTTGAATAAAAAACGAAATTGTGCGGAATTTTGTAAGCTACAATTTTTATATCTACATAAATTTTCGTAAAGTTGATATTTTCCGAGTTATTTGCGAAAAACTGGTTTTTTGGACCTTTTGGATCCTCTCCTGCCCACAACGTACCGTCTACACATGGGGATTTTTAATATGTTAAATAGTACCCTAAAACAAGCCTGTTTACAAAGTTTTAGCCCACTCAGTATTATTTCCTCAAAATCGACAAATTTCGAGTCATTTTACTGGGCTAATATGCTACAAACATATTTGTAGCATAAAAAAGGCACGCAGAGTGTTTTTTGTATGTAAATATAAATAATTAAAAAATAGTGCAGGTACACAATAAGTATAAAAAAAACCTTGATTAAGAAAATCAGATATTACTAATTTATCATATTTATTTGGCGCAAACCTGCAATATCATTACTTTTGTAGTAAAAAATACGAACGGTATTATAAGCTCAAATTAGATCAAAATTTCTTTCAATAAAAATTTTGTATAGAGCGCGTACACTTGGCGCATTTCTTTTTGAAAAAGATAAGTTTTGTACAAATATCACTCTCTTGTCACAAGTACATGAAATCGTAAAAATATAAAATCTTTGATATCAAGAAACACGGAAGTGTCTCGCGCCAAGTATACGCGAAGCGAGACCGCAGCGTAGATCATTTACGCGACGCGACGAGTTGCGAGTACCCAAGATTTTGAGATCTCGATAACTAGTGAACGGATTAAGTTCTAACTAGGCTTAATGGATAGCTTGGACCAAATTTATATAATAAAAGTGTCTTTATTTTTTCGTTACGTGCCCTACAAGCGGAGATATTGCGATGCAAAGTCCAAATATGGAAATTTTCATTTAAGAAACGTCCACGTCGTCATCGTCGGACAAAAATGGCAACTGATGTGTTACTTTCCCATTTTTGACAC